ATTTTTATTATAATAAAAATAAATAAATAAATGAATGAAAGGCACGATAGAAGATGCTTCTCGTTCTCGATTTTGTGTCCTGATAATGGTGGCCTGGGGCCTCTCGGTTTGGTTATTCTCCATCGTCCATTAAATCAAAGAACGTGTCATTCTTGGTTTGGTGAAATCAGCGGCAAGCTAAGGTGACAATGATGCTGGTTCTGTCACTTCCCAAACCAATCCACCACCGTTCATTTTCTTAAAACCATGGCAATGGTGGGCTCTATTTCACGCATCCCTTTACACAACGTGTTAACATGTCAGAGGCCGTAGCCTAACAAGTTGGTGTTTTTCATCATCCGGGTCCTTCCTTGTTCCTAATCGGCATGCTGTTGTTATCTGTCTCCTCATCCAGCGGCTCTGAATCAATCTCTCTGACATTTTTCATCCTTCTAAAAAGGACCTACCCTAACGCTTTTAGGTATCATTCTCAAAATACCCACAACCTTTATTTCCTTCCGATTGTCACCCACACCTCATGAAATAACCTCATAAAAATGGCCCTAGAGATGAGAAAGAGATATATATGGAAAGCAACTTAATGACTTTTGCCAACTTTGTATGGTAAAGACTAAACAAGTTCTCTTATCTCGTCCATAATTTTCATGCTAATTGTTTCACTAAGGTTTTGAGAAATATAGTTGATTGTTTCAGTTTATGATGGGGGACATTTTGAAGGAAATGAGGAAAGTTTTGGGTGCAATTGCGAGGACATAAAGGTTTGGGGTAATTTGAGAATAAAGTTAAACGATATGAGGCATAGACTTGTAGTTACCCTTCTATAAAAGTATTCTTCTTGTTGACACCATCATCAGGTGGGGTGCTTTCATCTCTTTTTCGGCAAGCACTTTTCTTGTCTAGTTTTCTCAAGAACATAAAAAATGCTGCTACGAAGTTCATCAACACCAATCCTGAATTCATGGTTATCTCATTGCAAAAACTCTTCATCGACAGAGTCAGATTCCCAAGTTCTCCAAAGAAGTAGTTCTATCTCCTTGGCAACTTCCTTCCTCTCTTTACCTGCTGCAGATGACCCAACAAAGAAGCCAACTCAAACCTTATCTGATGCCAATTTCCCAAAAGATACACCAAAACCCAAAAAGAAGAAGTCCTTGATACCACCTTCTTCCATCCTTGACACGAGAGGAAAGCAGGAAAATGAACATGGAGGAGATTCAAAGACTTCAGTCCAAAGACTATTTTCAAGTTCTGGGTTGGGGAAGAGAGTAATGGATGGTGGTGATAATGAGGACTTTGCTGTAGTGAGGAAAGACAGGGTGGTGCAGACATTAGAGATGGGTGGTGGGGTGGGGAATAATGGTGGCAGGATCAATGGCGGTGGATCAGGGTTCTCTGAGAGCAATAATCATGGGAGTGACAGCACTGAGGCTTACTATCAGAAGATGATAGAGGCAAATCCTGGCAACCCACTTCTGCTTGGTAATTATGCAAAATTCTTGAAGGAGGTAAAGATGTGTCCTTACAAGAAGATATTTCTCTGGTTGCATATGGAACCGTTCAATTCTTTTTTGGCGGGTGCAAAAAAAGGATAGGATACTTGACATTAGTTAAACTTTCTGTCAAACTCCCCCTGATTCAATCTCTGTACAAGCTACTTTGTTTTTTCCTTAGCTAAATGTTAGACATTTAGAATTTCTTACATAATGGAGGCTGAGGATTTAAGCACAGAAAGGAATATTCTACTCAAATTTTTTCTTCAAAAGTTTATAGGTTGCCTTTTGCTTTGATTTGATCGAACTTAACTTGTCTGATTTTCTTGTGAAAAGGTTAGAGGAGATTTTGCCAAAGCAGAAGAATACTATGGAAGAGCAATTCTGGCTAACCCAAATGATGGGAATGTTTTGTCACTCTATGCTGATTTGATCTGGCAAAATCACAAGGATGCTTTTAGAGCCAAGACTTACTTCGATCAAGCTGTTGAAACTTCCCCAGATGATTGGTAGGATATACCTAGCTCCATTTCAAGCAAACTCTCTTTGAATTTAGATAAATTATTTGGTACCAATAACTAACATGAACTTTCATTTTTCTGTTCAGTTTTGTCTTGGCTTCATATGCAAAATTTCTCTGGGATGCTGAAGATGAAGCAGAAGAAGAAGAAGAGCATGAAGACAGTGAGCAGAGTGGCGTTCTTCAATCGGATTTCTTTCATCAACCTCCTTATCCAACTATAAATGCAGCTTTCTAGTACATAATAAGATTCACATACATACACGTGTGTGAATTGGCTATGACTAGTAAGTAACCCAAGTAACTTAGCATCTAGGAAACAAATACTGATCTTTTGATTTTGGGGGTACAATAGTAGTGGCTTACTGACTGTAACTTGCTGTGAACAACGAAAATCTTTGCCCAAAGATATATATAAAGTAAATGGGGCTTTTTTTTAACATCTTTTCTACCGTGAAACAAGGAAACTGTGTATACATCATGAGTTACGAGGCTTGCTAAGTTTGCCCCACTAATACTAAGGTGCAAGTTCTTCCCTTCCCCTCTGATATTTTCTTTGCTGGAAGTTTGATATTGAAAAGTAATCATTTTGAAAAACAGTCAGGAGCCATCAGACAATATATTTGTTGACGCTACCTACCACTAAATCTGCAAAAGAGATACATCAGGACTCAAGAGCCCACCACCAGAACGTTACATATGCTTGACCAAACAATTTATTTTAACGTGTCATTTCATAGTTTTCTAGCAAACTGATTAACTCTAAATTCTTCCATATTAAATTCAGCAGAAGAAAATCAAGGGAAAGCAGGTAAGAGGGCTCCTTTTAAATCTATCTTTCCGGGCGGATATTCTTGACTTGTGACATAATCCTATTTGTATGCCTACCATTTTCTCAGGGTCACTAGCTTTCCTTTTCCTGTATATTGCGCTGGATAACCTAACAATATTTATTAATATATAGATACATATATCTTACTTTTCCATTTGCTTTCAATTCTGCGGGCATTTTTTGTAGTCATTCTTCGGCATGGGGCTGCTGAGAATTTATGTCACCATTCAACCATTCCGTGGATGGACTAGTAATTTGTTGGAGGCCCTGGAGATCTGGAATCATCTTCTGTTTCTTATCTGATGTACGACTGCATTTTCAGAGATAATAAGACTATCTCCATTGATGATGAATCAGGGGTGCGCATAATTCCTTATCCCCATATGGAAAGGTTGTTGTTGGCTGCCATTTAGTATTTCATCATCAGCGCTCATCACCCTAACCATTTGCTTGTAACTTGTATATGTTTCTGCTGCAATATCTTGCATGGAAGGCAACTTATTTTAATGGAAAATGATTGAGAAATAATTTTTTTATATAATTTGACATATTAATTAATATTTAATTTTTTTAATTTGTAAATATTTATGATATTATATATATTTACTCATTTAATAATATATAATATAAAAATTATATAAAAAATTATATCCATATTATTATCCTTATTTTAATACTAACAGTTGAAAATAATTACACAGCTTTTATCTATTTATTATTTATTTTATTTTAATTGATAGTTACATAGCATTAACTTGAACTGGGTTTCCTTGATAGAAAAGGGAATACAGTGAATACAGTAACCTTATACAAATATTAACTAAAAATCTCAAAAGAGGGATTTCTGTGTGAAACTGTGAATCAACTGCCTGACTAGCCTAAGAGGTGGATTTAATTTGATGCCGACAAGGTTATTCATGAGATTAGTCATCGAACCACCTGACGATGACATCAAAAGAAAAATAAATATAAAAAGAACAGAGTGCATAATTTTTTTAATGAAAAATGGAATTTTATTGATATATGAAGATTATAAGAATTATAGGATTAACCCAAATGGGATGGATACATCATAAGTATTACACTTATAAAATGTGTAAAAGCACAACATCAAATAATTTAAGACTTATATGAATATTACAGGTAAATCTATATTTAAGATTCAATAATTAAATCGCACTCCAGTATAATCTATTTAGACAAATAATAAATAGGTTGGGATAGACAAATTTAGTTAGTGACTTCATCCCCAACCATGCCTTCAATAGTTGAAATAAGTACAACAATTGATATGAGACCAACCAATATTGTATTTAAGTTGTTATTTTTCTTTGATAAAAGTGAATCTTTATAAAAAAAAAAATATCGAGAAAACTAAGATAGAAGCTGTCAAAAGAGAAGAAAAAACCTCCACAATAGAGGAAATCTCTCATAAAAGAGGAGAGAAGTATTACTTCTAATCATCTACCTTAACACTTTGTTTGGATAGAAAATAGTAAAGGAAAGGGAAGGGAGGGGAATGGAGGAAAATAAAAGAGAATCGAGGGGAAGGAAGAGAAAGGGAAGGGAAGAAGATGGAAGGAAATTATTTGTGTTAATTTTGTTTGGATAAATAAAAGTGAGGGAGGGAAAGAAAAGGGAAGGATTGTATTATTTTATATTTGAATAATTAATGTAAAAGGAAGGGAAGGATTTAAATAATTTTTAATTTACAAACTTATCCTTTGGATTTGTAATGGGATTTGCCTGTTCTTTCTTGCTTGTTAACATTTGTAAATTCATTCAATCACTTCATTATCCACAAAGTTTGCGTGAAAGAAATTAGGCTCCTGACCATATGGCTTCTTTTGGTCATAATATGGCTTTGGGTTAAAAAACTAGTACATGTAGATTAAAGGGAAAAAAATTGTTGGATGAAAAAGCACAAAATAAAAATTTTAACAAAGAAATAGTAAATGAAGTAATCAATAAACAATGAATTTGAAAATGAAAAGTAAATAATTTTATTACAATGTAGTCTCTTTGATGCCAATAAAGAATAAAATAAAATAATTAATAAAAACCAAACTACAAAAAATTATTCAAACATAACTTCCAATTGATGCAAATCAGACTAGTCAAATTTAAAAAATAAAGATAATGATTGTGCCCAAGAACTTGTTGATTGAAAAGTATCAAAACAACTCTTATAACAATATCCAAGCGTCTCCCAAGTGGACGTTCTAGTACTACTCTTAATTTATCTAGATGGTCAAGTAGATATAAATAAGCAAAGGTAATTTAATTTGACTTAAGTTCCTAATTTTCCAACATATTGCAAACTTCAACCTCTAAAAGTGGAGGGTGTGAATTCCCTTCAAATAGACCTTGAGCTACATTATTAATAGCTTCTTGAATGCCCTTTGCTTTATTTTCAATTTCTTGTGAACTCTTTATTTTTTTGGATTTTGAACTAGTTAGCACATTTGAAGAACCCTCAAGACATATTAAAGGATCAAAATCAACATCATTAGTTTCAACACCATCTAAAGATTCCTAACTTTGTGACACCATATGATCATTGTTCTTAATGGTATCGTGAGACTCATTATCATGTAGGAATGACTGCTTTTTCTTAAGTTCTTCTGCAGTTTCTGACTTTTCACCTATAGCTCGATCATTTCCAAATAATATTACAAATATGTCATATTGCACCACTGGTTTTGTCATCCACTTTGTAGCATTCTTGTTAACTTACAAAACATCAACATTTTAAAATAAAAGTAATTAATTTAGGTCAAGCAAAATGTAGCAAGGAAAAGTAAATTAAAATTGTATCTTTATTAATGCATCCCAAACTTCAAGTTCGACGCTCCATAGCTTGGTAATAAGGCTCCATGAAAAACCATTAAGATTTTAATTAAATCATGAGATTTTGAAAGGTTTCCCTTTAAAGTTTTCATATGATTTTTAACCTTATCTTTGTCAACATCCTTCCCAAGTCTTTCTTTCAATTCATTAACAATATTTTCATATGCCTTGGTGATGAAGGAACCATTTACTCTATTACCCAAATTATGTTGATGTAGGAAAGCATCCATTAGAACCTCATCCATGATAGGTGTCCATACTAATTTGCCTTCTTCAATTGTATTTTCAGTATTACTATTTTTCTTTTTCCCACCCATACCTAAATAAAAGAAGTTATTCGAGAACTTTATTAGTAAAAATTTATTACAATGAAAATTTATTATTTATAACATTAAAAAAAATAAAATTAAAAAATTCGAGAACAAAGAAATTAACTTAAGTCAAAAGAACAAAAAAAAAAAATTACAAAAAGGAAAATCTAAAAGCCATAAAGTAGACTAGCAATTTTTGTAATTGTGCCACATATTAGCAGCAATGACATCTCTCAACATTGCTCCCCTGATGGCATCTCCTTCTTTCTCTCTAGAAGTATGAGTTTGTTGGAAATTATTTTGATTTCTCAATTCCATATCTACCTCAATTATAAGGTCTTCATCAGGATCCACACCAATTAAAAAATTGTAAATAATGCAATAAGTTAGAATAATTAAATTTTGAATTTTCACTCCATAGAATGGTTTGATTCCATCCCTTAAAATCTTAAATCTTTTTTTCAAAACACCAAATGCTCTTTCAATAATATTACATAGGGTTACGTGCTTAAGATCAAATAATTCTTTAGCATTTTGAGGAGGATTATTTAAGTATTCTTTGAGATGGTAATGAACTCTGCTATAAGGAGTTATAAGCCCACTTTTTAGCATAAACCCAGTATCAACAAGGTAAAATTTTCCCTCTAGAATTATAAGCTTATCTTCTCTTTTTAATACACCCTTAATAATTCTAAAGTTTAAGTTAGTCCTTTCCCATTCTGTTAACACATAGGTGAATTTTAAGTTAAATGTACAGGCAGCTAAGACATTTTAGGTTAGATACTCTTTTCTACCATAATATTTAGGGCATCTAAAGGTGAGACTTTTACACGAATGTGCATCCCATCAGTTACGCCTACATAATTATCAAAGTATGGGTAGAATCTACTACTTGACATTATCTTCATAAGGATTTTTGAACCATTTGGTTGTTTGATAAATTTATTTTCAACTGTTGTCATAGCTCTCAACACACGATGCAAATGTCGGCTAGCAATTTCTTCAGAATGTCGAAACCAAAATTGGATTGAATAGTTTTTAACATTATTAGCAAGAGTAAAAAGAGTTTTAGCTACTTGTTTCTCAATAGTTGCTCTCCTTGTGGGTAGAAGGCCTCCTCCCTTTCAAGTATGTCACAGAATCGTAGAAAAGCTTTGGCCCCCATTCTTACGATATAACAACTTCTCTCACTTGCCACAATTTGGTTCATTATTTGGTTCCAAACTTGTTTTCTCTCATTAATTATGTTATCATCAAGAAGCTTTCTTTTTTATCAACTTTGAAGAAACCATCAATAAGCAACTAAGTATATTACATGAGCAATGGCCCTTCTATGCATCTCTCATGGCATCCATCTATATTTATGAAATACAAATTAAAATTCTATGTCATGATATATTTTGAATACAATTGTATAACTAAAGTTCATAATAATAATAATAATAATAATGAATCCATATAACTAGGCAGTGAAAGAATAATTAAAGTTTAGCAATGTACAAATATAAATATAAGGCATTTCAATATTCAAATACAAACTACCAATTTTTAAATTAGAATTACTTGGATCAATGCCTAAAGGCTAGCAAACCAAACCTCTATCTCAACTTTGTCCTTCCAAATCTATGGATAAATCATTAACTATTATCATCAAATTCAAAGTTATCAACAAGCTAAACATTACGTAACTAAAAAAGTTTAAAATTAATTGAATATTTTCTGGCCACAAATATCTTCTAAACAACATGGTAAAATATAACCAAGCAAGAGAATAGAATCCAACTTAAAACACCTTTTGGAAAAAGCAACATAAGCAACCAAAAAATTGGCTACAGAGTAATAAAAGCAAAACAAAAGCTACTAAATAGATTTTAAAGAAAATGATATACTCTATTTTGGTCCAAGTAGTGAAGCAACTAGAGGTGATTATGAAACAAAAGAGATGTGGCAGTAGGGTCATGATGATAGGAGCTTATGCCAAAAAGAAAAGCGATAGAGTGTGCCACAGAGAGTGGGAGAGAGGATGTGAAAAGAAACCTGGATAGGGACAGTTGAGGAGTAGGATTGAGGATAGAAGGAAATTAAGATGGTGAAGAGAAGAGGGGTTTTGGTGGGGTATTAGGTTTAGGGTAGAAGCAAAGGGGCCTAAGGAAAAAGAAGAGAGAAGCAGTTGCTGCTTGAAAGA